AGGTTTCACGCGGAATGCCGGTTTCTGCACGAAATTTAGAATCTTCAAATCGATTTTCGAAAATCAATTAATTCTTTTGCATTTTTTATTTATTGTAAAGTTTTTATTCTTTCTTTCTTCTATCCTCGTTTTTATGCTTTCTGTTCCCGGATGACCAGCAGAATCGGCCAGGACACAGAACGATGGGCGCGCAGAACGATATTTCTCGGATCTGCGAAAGGTTTCCTTCAATTTCCAGATTTCTTATTTGTTTTCAGCGATGCGCCGCGAATCTAAAGGACAAGCGCCTCGAGCTGCTCGACCAACGGCGAAAGATGAGCTCGGTATGCTTTTGGAGGCCTCCAAATTGAGCAGAATTTTTAAAGATAACGGTCGCCAAGCTACCTGTTTTGTCTAAAAACTGCTCTGAAAGATGTCTGAACTGTCGTTTTTAGGTCGAATCCCTGATCCGGAGCACAGCGGCCGCCGAATTCCCCGATGAGGAGCTGGACGACGAGATGGTGATGCGACTGCAGGTTGAGCTGCTGCAAGATGGTATTTCCTTGGTTCTTCCTGGAACACTGGGTTTCTTAGAATACCTCGAACTTCAACAAGACGAAGACCGTGCCTGCTATGAGGCCAATTTTGCCGACACGCTCGAGTGCCCGTCCTGTAAGGTTGGTTTCTTTGAGAAAGGAGCAATTCTTCTGGTTTAGAGTCGCGCTATACTCGACGAAAACTTTCTCTACTGCGCCAACTGTCGTTTTGCGCATCGTTTTTCGGAGACTTGGGTGAGGGTTTGTAAAAAATTTGAATGTAGAAAAAATGAAAAACGTCTTCTTTCGCATTGTCTTGGGGCAACAACTTTTTTCTTAGGATCTAGGTTTGAAATTTAGATGGTCGAAGTATTTCGAAACGTAAAAACTTTCCAAATTTTTAAAAATATCGAAAATATCGTTTTTTCGACGAAAAATAGCTGAATTTGGATAAACTCCCATTTTTTAAGTTTTTGGCTAATTTCTAGTCGAAATATCGTTATATTTTCAGAAAACATTAGTCAAATATCTTCTATTTAAGTGATCGACTTTTTTGAGCCGGTACAAGCAAGATCGCCCCGATATAATGCGAAAGAACCGGAGAAACTTGCTTTTTCAGACTCCAGACATCCAACAACTCGACGCTTGGTTGATCGACACTTACAAACAACACGAAACGAGCTGCTCGCCGATTCTTGAGGTTGCTTCCAGGTATGGTTTATTGCTTTTATGTTTATTTCTGTCGTGTAGCCGATACGCCGACCAGCCGCTTCAACTCAACTGCCCGTTTTGCGGGTTCGAAAAATCGTTCGTTGCCTAAGACTCAATCGCTATCACTTTTTTTCTAACATTTACGTGTATTCTTGTTTGTAACTCTCAATTTTGACCATTTGTAGCACACGGGTTTTCACATTGTGATGGTTTGCCGGGCATTGATTGTGTCCTTGTTTTTATAAATGTATCTCCTTAGGAGGTTGCTGAATTGGCAAAAGCTTTTACGTCTACGTATTATCTTTTGGTTCTTTCGCATTATCGGGGGGGGGGGGGGGGGGGCAACTTGTTTATTAGGATCCAATTTATAAAAATATAAATGGCGAAAGTGTTTCTAAGCTATTTGTTACTATGCATAGACGTAAAAATGGTATAAATTTTTTTAATATCAAAACTGACCGATTTTTTCAAAGTTTTTGAGAGTTTTTCCAGTTGAAATTTATCTATCTTCTAAACTTATCAAAAAGTTCGGCCGCCCCCCCGATAATGCTCAAGAACCACCGTTTTTGGAATGAGCTGCTGTTAACAGAGCGGGCGGATCGGCCGCCACCATATACGATTCCTGGGGCGCGATTTAGCGCTATATGCGCGTTTCGATTGCCCGACAAACTACAAAGCTGCAACGCCGCCATTTTTAACATTTTTAGTTTTGGAAAATGAACCACGATCGGCGCTATGTTTGCCCGGACGACATCTGCAAGTACGCTACTCCGGACCAAACGAACCTCATTCGCCACATCAAAAGAAAGCATCCGCACCTCGAGCTCATCTACAAGCCGGCGGACTTGTTCCCGTACAGTTGTGAAGAATGTGGCAGGCGCTACAGGTGAGTTAATATTGGTAATTTTTGCATACTCATCTTTTCAGGAGTGCCGCCAGTCTCCCTTCCCATCGCAGGAGCAAGCATCCGGAGCTCCTGAAAGCAAAAGCACCGGAAAAAAGAACTTCCGCCAGTGATCTGTCCCGGTTGCGATGGGCGATTCTATTCGCACGAGAAGATGGTGTCGCATTATGCCGAGAAGCATGAGGAAGCGTAAGGAAATTTCAGCAGTTCAGCAGGTTAGCGGGGAGGTTTTATGGCGTTTTTTGTTTTTGATTGCGAGAAAGTTCAACAAATTTTTTAAAATCCGAAACTTGGCCGCTTTGGCCATTTCTCTTACATTTTTGGATTTTTATAATGTTTTTGTTGTTATTATGTATAAAAACTATGTAAAATTTAATGAAAATGGTCTAAGCCCCCCCGCTAACAGTCCTGTACCAAGTTTTCTATGTTCCGGCAGAAGCCAGTTCCTCTATTTTCAGGGCCGAATTGTTCGACATGTCCCTGGAAAACGATAAGGCCTTCATCCGTTGGCTGAAGGAGCTCGAGTTCGAGCTGAGCTGCAGCTTCTCCATCCGCGACTCCAATCCCAAGTGCCGGCGATATCGTTGTACGCGTGTCGGGTTGCGGAAGCCGAGCAATAGAGACTTGGCTGATTGCACGGCATTTGTACAGGTATCAGTTTAGGCAGGTTTGAAATTCTTAACTTTTTCTAGGTTCGATTCGACGACATCGGACGGGCATTAGTCCTTTTCTGCCGGCATCATTCGCACGAGTGCCCGCCTGAAGCACTGCGGCTCTACTCGTCGCTTATGGAGGATGAGGTGATCAAGATGGTGCAGATGGGTACGTTTTTTAGGTCCTTTCGCATTAAAAACCAAAAAATATCCATTTTTCGGCCAAAAAGGTCTTTTTTGACAAAAATTTTGAGTTTTTGGACGTTTTTAGATAGTTTTTCTAGTTGAAATACAGTTTTATTTTACTAAAAGCATGAGCACCTATTATAGTTTTTCTAAGTGTTTTACCAATCCGAAACGTGAAAACAACAAAATTTTTTTTAAAAATGTAAAAAATCTCAATGTTTCGACCAAACATGACCGATTTTTTACCAAAATTTCGACTTTTTCAAATTTTTAAAGGTTTTTGGATCGTTTTTCGGGTTGTTTATAGTTTGAGCTAGCTATTTTTCTAGCAGGTAGCAGTCATATTAAACTTGTCAATTTCAGGAAAAACGACCCCGGAAATCCTCCAGCACTTCAAGAATGGATTTCCGAGCGGCGTCCCAGCCAGGCCAACCGTTTCGTACAACCTGACGGCCAAGGAAGTGCGAGTGGTTCGAGACCGGGTGGCCCGATGGAAGGAACGAGAAAGCCACGCAACCACACCAACTTCCAACGATGGCGCGGATGGTGATTATCGTGCAACTCTTCGCCGTCGCCAGAAATATCGATTCCCGCATAGATTTTGTTAGTTTGAACGTTGTTTTGTTTGATAGAATAAATAATTTATCAAATGTTTAAATAGATTTACCGATGCCATTGAATATGGGCTATGCCATTTTTAATTTTTTATGTGATTTTATTTTCACGGCTGAGTTCAGAAACCATTATCACTTTGTCTTGATGACCGCCGAAAGCGCAGAACTACAACCGTTGGAGGTCGAAAAAGTGCTTCAGAAGCGGCGGCGGGAAGGCCGATTGGAATATTTGATCCAGTGAGGCGCTTTCTTACAAGGAGGCGTTTTTTAGTGCGTTTCTGTACGGTACCAAGCGTATCGTATGCAGGATTTTGTGCTGATTCCTCGCCTGTTTTCACAAGCTGCGAGACGATAAGGTCAAAAAGATTTTTAGGTCCGAAAAAAGGCTAAAAATGGCGCAATCCCGGCGAATTGTTGCGTTTTCCGCCCTAAAAAGCATCATAACTTTTTCCGTCTGATCGTTTCGCAGATTTTGAAAACCGGTTAGGACTCAGCGCAAAATTCTGCACATGATCCACTTGGTCTGGTACAGAAATTGGATTGTTAAAAAACGTATCCTTGTTAGCGTTTTACGAACGTCTTCAACCTTCCCTTCCTAGGTGGAAAGTCGGAGATACGAACCCGAGCAACGCGACATGGGAGCCAGAAGAAAACGTCTCTTGCCCGGAAGCGATTGCGAATTACGAGCGACAACTATTGAAAGTGGTAGGGAATTTTCGACAACGTTTATTTGTTGTTGCTTTGTAGAAAACGATGATCAAGGGCGAAGAGGAGCTGGCAAACGAGGCGGCCGAAGTGGAAAAGATTCTCGGATTGGCCGAGAATTCGGGGGAACGATATTACTTGGTAATTCTTGGTTCTTTCGCATTATCGGAGGGGGGACCGATTTTTTGTATGTCTAGAAATGTCTAGTAACTTACTAGGAGGCAATAATGTTTTTAATAAAATGAATCTATATTTCGACTAGAAAAACTATCAAAAACGTTTCAAAGTCGAAATTTTGGTAAAAAACCGCCACTTTAGTCGAGAAATTTTTTTTGTATCTTTTGTACTAAAGATCTCACGTTTAAGGATAGTAAAAAACAGTTTAGAAACACTTTCGATTTTTCTATATGAATTACAGGAACCTAAAACAAAAATTTTGCGCCCCCCGATAATGCAAAAGAGACCTGATCCTTGATGGCAACGTGCAAATATAATTTCTATTTTTAGGTGAAATTCACGAACAAGGCTTGCCGATTGGTGCCGATGGCCGAAGCGAATACAAAGTGGCCGGCGCAAGTTATCCAGTATTACGATCAGAACCTCACTTTGGAAGAGAAATGAGCGGTATTAATTTTGCAATGATCTCACTGTCTATCTTTTTGTAATGTTGATTACGTTGAATTGCCTATTTTCTTTGTTTGTGCGTGTCATTATGGCCAAGATAAACGTCGTCCAAAATGGTCAAATCTTTATTCCGGGCGCTGACGCGTAAAGGGAAAACGGAGGATGATGATTGTGGATAGAAATAGAAAACGAGCCAGTTTTGACGTAAACAAATGAACGATTGAAAATAAGGAATGAGGAGCAGGAGAAGGGAGAGCCTTTTTTTTTAAACGTTGGCCGGGAGAGCGGCGGCCCTGGCGGCGCGGGCGGCGCTTTTCCGCTGCTGCTTCCGCGCCTTCTTTAGGAGTCGTGACGAGGCCGGGCGGAAGGCGAGCACGCGGGCCGACATCTGAAAACGCGGGAGATCTCGCGAAATACAGTGCAAACGTTTTTAATATGTCGTTTTAGGTAATCCAGAGTTTTAGGCAAGTTTCAGGCTTCCCAGCTTTACTTTTTTAGTGGAGCATTTTTTTAGGATCCAATTTCTCAAAAATAAATCGCGAAAGTGTTTCTAAACTGTTTTAAAACGTAAAAACTTTCTCTAATTTTTTCGACTAAAAAGGCCGATTTTTGAGCAAAATCTCAACTTTCTCATCTTTTCAAAGTCTTTAAATAGGTTTTCTAGTTGAAAATCTGGTTTTATTTTACTAAAAACACTACAAATGAAGATGCTGTCCATCGCGTACCCCGTGGTCATTCGCGTCGACGACCAGCACGCCGCCCGAGTTGGCCATGTTCAGGTAGTTGGGCGCCGAGAAGAGGGTGACGAGGCGGCCCGTCTGGCCGAACCACTTGTGGCCGTGCTGCAGCATCTATAGAGGCTCGTGAAGCTCTTCCATCTCCCAGCCCTGCCCACCTCGGTGTTGATCTGGTGGGCGCGGACGATCAGGTCGACCTTGGTCCGGTGGCAGAAGGAGATGACCGCGCGCTCGTCGAATGAGAACGAGATGCCACGCGACGACATGGCCCACGAGGCCCGCGGGTCAGCCTGGAAATTTGGAGCAATAATGACAAGCTAACAAAGAGCATTGCTGTGCAATTCTAGCTGCTTTTTTACTTTCCAACGAAAAAAATATCGATTTTTCGACAGAAAATGGCTAATTTTCGATAAAATTTTAGGTTCTTTAGGATTCCCGGGGGAAAGTATTCCCGGGGGGGGAAAACAAATTTTTTTCGGCGAAAGCCTAGATTTTTGTATAAATTGCGGATGCGTTTCTAAACTGTTTTTAACTATTCCTGTGCATAAAAACTACACACATTTTAACCAAAAAAATGTAAAAAATTAAAAATTAGGTCGAAAAATAGACCCAAAATGACCAAATTTTCGACTTTTTTCAAACATTTTTCTAAATTTTTCTGAAAGTTATTCTGCTTTAAATATACTTGAAACTTACTAAAAACAATTCGAAAACACTTTATATTTGATTACTAGGTCAACCGGGAAAACCAGGAAAAAAATTGGTTTCCCGGGAATACTTTCCCCCCCCCGGGAATCCTAAAGAACCAAATTTTAATTTTTCCCAATTTTTTTGGGGTTTTAGATACTTTCAAGAAAACCTATGAAAATAATTACTATTACGTTACTCGGCATCCCCGAGTTTACGCCCCCCCCCCTCGATAATGCACAAGCACTAATATCTCTGCTAGCCTGCCCTCTCCTCTTCCTCAACAATCTCTGCTAGCCTGCCCTCTCCTCTTCCTCAACAATCTCTGCTAGCCTGCCCTCTCCTCTTCCTCAACAATCTCTGCTAGCCTGTCCTCTCCTCTTCCTCAACAATCTCTGCTAGCCTGTCCTCTCCTCTTCCTCAACAATCTCTGCTAGCCTGCCCTCTCCTCTTCCTCAACAATCTCTGCTATCCTGCCCTCTCCTCTTCCTCAACAATCTCTGCTAGCCTGCCCTCTCCTCTTCCTCAACAATCTCTGCTAGCCTGCCCTCTCCTTTTCCTCAACAATCTCTGCTAGCCTGCCCTCTCCTCTTCCTCAACAATCTCTGCTAGCCTGCCCTCTCCCCTTCCTCAACAATCTCTGCTAGCCTGCCCTCTCCTCTTCCTCAACAATCTCTGCTAGCCTGCCCTATCCTTATAAGCAACCACCAGCGCATCCGGGTCGGCCCAGACGAGATCGCACATCAACCCGTAGGGTGGGATAAGGGTGGGGCGGGCAATCTGGAGCGCAATTTCTTGCTGTTCGAGTCCCTTTAGAATACCTGATTGATCTGTTCGAGGCTGGCGAGATTTGGGGACAGCCCTCCGTGCATAGCCAACACCTTGGTGCCGATCAGGGCGGCGATGGGCATCCAGTTGAACATCGAGATCAGGTGCAGCCACACGTACTCGCCGCTGGAAAATGGATAATTAAATGAAATAGCTAATTAATTGGCTCTTTGGCATTATCGGGGGGTGTCGAAGCCTAGAAATGCCCAGTAAGTCAATAGGAAGTGTTTTAATAGTGTTTTTAACAAAATTAAATAAATAAATAAAACCGGAAAAAACTTTCATAAATTTTAAGAAAATTTGTTGGTAAAAAACGTAATTTTTTTGCGAAAAATCTTTTTTTTTGCTTTTTGAATAAAAATTTGAGTTTACGTTGAGTTTAAATTTAATTTGAGTTTAAAAACACCTTGGAATTGAATATTTTCAACAAATTTAAATTTGTCCCCCCCCCCCCCGATAATGCCAAAGAACCGGTTAACCCTCTAAACATCGCCCACTGCTGCTCGCCGTAGCGCTCCATCACCTCGTCGTACAGCCCGTACGTGATGGCCGTGTTGAGGTCCTCGTGGTTGCCGCTGGAATTCCGAAATCGTCGCTGCTAGCCTGCCCACAGCTCCCCAATTCTCAAAAGATCCCCGCTGGCCTGCCCCTTCGTAGTCAACGTACCGTAACAGAAAAACCGATTTTGGGTAGCGGCATCGCATCGCTGCCAGCAGGAGGAACGTCTCGGCGCCCTGAAGGAGGACGGGGTTAGTTTTTGACGGCCTAGACTTGCTTAAACTTAGGCTTAGGCTTGGCTTAGGCTTGGGCTTAGGTTCATTAAGCTTAGGCTTAGGCTCGGCTTAGGCTTGACTTAGGCTTGGCTTAGCCTTGGTTTGGACTTAGGCTTGGTTAGGCTTAGCTTGGCTTAGAAAAAGAAACCGCCAACCCTACCTGCAACCCGCGATCGACGTAATCGCCCAAGAACAGATAGTGCGCACCGGTGCCGTCCGCCCCCGGCATCCCGATGTGGTTGATCATCATGCGCAGGTCGCGCAGCTGGCCGTGCAGGTCACCGAAAATGTGCACCGGGCCTTCGGTACTAAAGAAGAGGAGAGCTGGCAGAGATCATTGAGGAATGCGTACGCAGGGATACGGAGCAGCATCGGCTCTGACTTGAACGACTCGACGGCTAGTCGGGTGAGGCGGCGGACCTAGAAGAGGTGTTGAAGGAGGGCAGGCTAGCAGAGATTGTTGAGGAAGAGGAGAGGGCAGGCTAGCAGAGATTGTTGAGGAGGAGGAGAGGGCAGTCTAGCAGAGATTGTTGAGGAAGAGGAGAGGGCAGGCTAGCAGAGATTGTTGAGGAAGAGGAGAGGGCAGGCTAGCAGAGATTGTTGAGGAAGAGGAGAGGGCAGGCTAGCAGAGATTGTTGAGGAAGAGGAGAGGGCAGGCTAGCAGAGATTGTTGAGGAAGAGGAGAGGGCAGGCTAGCAGAGATTGTTGAGGAAGAGGAGAGGGCAGGCTAGCTGAGCTTCTTCCGGATGGCTACCTCTCTTGGCGTGATGCAAACGTCGACGAACGGGGCCTTCAGCTGGGCGAAGGCAAGGCCGGGGATCGGGTTCTAAAATTAACTATGGCCGATTGTACGCTCTAGCCTGCCATCCACGGAACCCGGGTTCGAATCCCGGCCGCGGCAAATTTTTTGCTTTTGGCCCCACGCACCGGTATGTAGGCTTCGGGCTCCTGCTTCAACCCGGCACTCATAATGCGCTGGATGAGGCTGTTGAGGAACGAGGTGTCCGTTTCCGCTTCATCGGCCGTCACGGGCGTCGCTTCAACTACCGTAACTTCCAAGGCCGTCTTCACGTCGAGGTCGAGCTGAATACATTGGAAGCTCCAATTCTTCAACAATGTCGAAACCTACTTGTTTCTGGCTGGTCCCGATCGCCCCATCGACGGCCGCCATGGCGAGTGCTATCAATGATATTTCGAGCTACCGATTACGGGAGGCAGGCCGGATCTGCTAATTTTCTATTCAATTGCCGGATACGGAATCAGAAACGGTATGTCTAGAGAATATCTCTCTCTCGCTCTCTCTCTATCTCTCTCTCTCTCTCTCTCTCTCTCTCTCTCTCTCTCTCTCTCTGCTCTCGCTCTCTCGCGCTCTCTCGCTCTCGCTCTCTCTCGCTCTCTCGCTCTCTCTCGCTCTCTCTCTCCCTCCCTCTCTCTCTCACCACCAGCGTGGTTGCTATTCGGTACTTTTCTGTTATCAGGGGGTGTTTGTTCTGTAGTATCCATTTACAAAAAATATAAATTTTTAACCAAAGATGGCCAATTTTCGAAAATCTACGTTTTAAAAAAGTTGCTAGCTTGTTTTCCGCTTTAAATCTCGTTAAATTTTAACGAAAAGGTCATTATGACGCTTGCATGATTGCGTTACTAACAAGGAGACGTTTTCGAGTGTCGTCGGGACTTTGGCACGGGACCAAGCCTATCTTGCGCAGAATTTTACGCTGATTCCGAATATGGTAACCGTTTTTGCGGAATAGCCATTTCTCGAAAGTTATGAGCGATTTAAACCTCAAAACAGCCCAAAATCGGCTACTTTCAATAGTCATAAAAAGGCTTCAAAATAGGTTTTAGACAAAACCAGATAGTACATCTTGTTCAGAAAACAATTCTCTATAAAATGTACCATCTTTTGCAAAATCATTGAAAAGTTGGAAAAATTTGATAAATTGGGAGGTTACAAAAATTACAAAAA